TTACTTTTTTTATAAAAAAAACATCAAATTTGGGCATAACAATTCTTTTAAATAGGAGTAATTTATGATTTCCGCTAATAAAATAAAAACCAATTCTACGCAGATGAACAGGTGATTCTTTTTTCTTTGTGTTAATATAAAGAATTATAGCGACATATAATTCACATAAACACTAACAATCACTCACAAATCTTTCCCATGACTCATGACAATGATTGTAAAAGATTATTGTTCTGTTAAAGAAGACTCCTAAAGTTATTATAACATGGTAACAAGGTACCTTTGGTCCTAGATATTTCATGGTTGTAGTAAATACTTTTTAATTATAAATACTGTAACTAGTAGCTTTGACTATTAGTCAATGCTAGTAGCTAACTCGTGCTTACATTAGGGGTGTTAAAATAAAATTGAAGAAGAAATTATGCGTCTGATTTGAAACTAATGTAGGTAAAATATCATTGACAGTGGGATCCTAAGAAGATTTATAAACAAGACTAGTTTTAACAAAAATTTGCTTTTTTCATTCAGCTGAAGAGATGTGTATTATTTAAACCATTGGCAATGGTAAAATGCAGTGCCGGATTTAGCACTAGGGCCGCAAGCAAGAGGGGGCCGCAGAGGATAAGAAATAAATTTTTTTAACCATTAGTTTGCCGCGATCACAGGTGATCGTCTCCATGATTGGGGACCAAAGGAAATGTTCACGATTTTGCCGCGGCCATGGGTTACGGTGATGATGTCCCCGTGATTACGGCCCGCGGGAGACCTTCACCATTTAGCCGCGGGTGATGATGTCCTCATGATCACAATTCTCAGGAAATATCTTAACACGACTTTGCCGCAATTGCAAGTGTCGATGATGATGTCACCTTTGATTGCGGCCCGCGGGAGATTTTAACGATTTTGCCACAGTCGTGGAAGATATTCTCGATTTTGCCGCGGCTGGAGGTGTCAATGAGGATGTCCCCGTGATGGCTTCCCGAGAGGGATGTTTACGATTTCGGCACGGCCGCGGGTAACAATGATGATGTCCTTATGATCGGAGTCTACGGGAGATGTTATAAAATGACTTTTCCGCGACTCGATGATTTTGTGCCCGTGATTGCGGGTGACGGTTATGATGTCCTCAAGGTCACAGCTCACGGGATATGATCACAATTTCGCCGCAGTCGCAAGTGTTGAGGATGATGTCCCTTTGTTGCAGCCCACGGGGGATTTTCATGATTTTTCCGTGGTTACGGATACCTATGATGGCTTTGACTGGATTTAGGAGAGCTGTCCACAATTTCATCCACGATCACGGGATGATGTCATCTATGATAATGTCCCCTTGATGCATAGGAGATATTCACGATTACTTCCGCGATCCCAAGGAATTTCCACCAACAGGGGGAGGGCCGCTCAAGTAATTTGGCCTAGGGCCGCAAGTACCCTAAATCCGGCACTGGTAAAATTACAGCAAAACTAAAAACTTAGTCTATTCAAAACCTTCTTAAGGATACCAGTGAGAAAATACCTGTCAAAAGGTTAACATTGCAAATTTTAAGTCATTCTCTCATTTCAAGGGACAATTTAAAAAACTAGCATGATTTTTTTGTTGCCTCGAATGTTCTTATAAAAAGTACATTAGGTATATCGATTTCATACTTATAATTAAGGCTCCCCTCAACATTGTCGAAACGGCCGAATTGACCATGATTTACACTTTTACACTGTTTGCTTGTTAGTTCACTTAAGGCAAAACTGGAACCAAACTATTATATATTTAACTGTTTTTCAAATTTTTGCAGTAAAAACTACTAAGTAGCATAATAAAAAACTTCTTTGGATGGCAGACTACTTTATGTTAACTACAGTACAACAATCTAAAAGTGTAAACAAAAACTAAAGCAAAACTTAACATTCCACTCCATGCCCATATTTTCTTTTTAAATAATTCTAGCCCTTAGTATATAGAGCTTTTAAAACATCAAATCTAAAGAATAAACTAATTTCTTAAAAGATTAATCAAGATTTTTAATTAATGGATAAAAGATAGAAACATAAGCAATTTCTTATACCGTAAAACAAAAATTAAAATTGATTAGAGTTACTAAACCTAAAAGGAAACAGGAATGAAACATTAAAATGTTGAGTGACTAGCAGATAGAGCGGAGCCTTAGTATTGAGTAAACTTGATTGAGAACACTTGGCTTCTGTTTGCTTCGTTTTAGAACTGCCATGTCATAAACAGTTTTGTAAGTGCTTCCAAAATTACGATAAAAGGCCCAGGTCTTACTCCTTACTAATGGAGCCAACTGTAAACTAATGGTGTAAGATTTTAAGCACAGATTGATTGATTCATTATTAGATAAGACTGAAAACGCAAGTCACTTGTAAAATAACTGTGTAGAGGAGAACAACAAATAAAGAGGAAAAAGTTTGGAAGGACTATTTCTTCCAACTTGTTTCCGACTCACCCCATCTTTAAATTTACAGTTGGAATCCCGATAATCCGAACTTTGGTAATACAAAAGTCTGCTTAATCCAAAACCGAAAAAGATTAAAAAAAAAATTTTTGATCAGCCGTTCTCATAAGTTTTTGTCGTGTGACGACAGTTAGCTGTACCTCGTCAAAGTATTGTGTAGCGTCTGAGCGAGATAGACTTGTTGTAAGGCCAATGGGCCAACTTAAACGTTGTGTATTTCATAATTTTGTGTATTTTATTCTGTAATCCGAAATGGGTCCGGTCCCAACCATTTCGGACTATCAGGACTCTACTGGACTAACCAAAGTGTTTGACAATGTACAAGTTTACTCAACTTTCCCCCTTACTCGACTCATGCTAAGATTTAAATAATGTAGGCCTAAAGTAGAATCTGTTGCCATATATTTTTATTATAGAATAAATGTATTGACTTCCAATAATCTGCACCAAAGTGAATGTGGAACATAATTCAATAAAGGATTTGACCCTGCCACATCAGATTAATTGAGAAGGTTAACTAATTTTATAACTGATTTGTCTTTGGATTTTTTATCATAGACATTTTTATTGCATATTACAACAAACACATTAAAACACTACATATAACAAACAAAAATAGCCGATATTTTAAAATTGTATTTTAAAAATAGTCATAACTATAAAGTTAAAATGATATATATCAGAATTTGATTTTAATCTTAATACAAATTAACTGATTATCTGGTTTTAACCTATGATGAAATTTTATAACTGATTTGTCTTTGGATTTGTTATCATAGACATTTTTATTGCATATTACAACAAACACATTAAAACACTACATATAACAAACAAAAATTATTTTAAAATTGTATTTTAAAAATAGTCATAACTATAAAGTTAAAATGATATATATCAGAATTTGATTTTAATCTTAATACAAATTAACTGATTATCTGGTTTTAACCTATGATGATGATCGAAACTAATAATTAAAGAGAAATATAATATGAAATACAAATATAATCTTACCAAGTTTCATAACAGGTTTATAAATGTAAAAACAAAGTGTAACTGAATTAAAAGTTTACAGTGTAGTTAAAAGCCTAGCCTGATTACAATCACTTATACTTATGCAAAATCAAAATGCACATTGATTATAATGCAACAAACAATACTATATAAAGTGATCTAAACATTCATGTTCTTATTACATACAATTATTATAATTACCAAAATCAATTGGTATGAGTAATACAATTGAACACTATAATACATCTACATACACATTTTTGGACAAACAACAAGCAGTAACCTAAATAAAGCTGTATTTTAAACTTGAAACGATTCAGATGTGTTTTTACAATTAGAGATTAATATAAAAAAACTCACTGTCCAATTAAGTTCTGTCTAACTGATCATGGTGGGAAAGTTTATTCAAACTTACGAATACTTGCGACAATAAGATGCTTAAGGTAGTGAAGAGACAATTATGAGTTTTACAATACAAACTTAATACGTCCAATCGAAAGAGATGACACTCCAGTAAGGGGTTCTCTTGAATTTTAAGATTCTGGAACTCTCCTGAAGTTGGATGTTGTGACAATAATTCTTGTTGGTTCATGTCCTGACATGCACGACCATCCTGATGTGTTGTGGACAGAAATTGTTGGTTCATATCCTGACATGCACGACCATCCTGATGTGTTGTGGATAGAAATTGTTGGTTCATGTCCTGACATGCACGACCATCCTGATGTGTTGTGGACAGGAATCGTTGGTTCATGTCCTGGCATGCACGACCATCCTGATGTGTTGTGGACAGGAATCGTTGGTTCATATCCCGGCATGCACGACCATCCTGATGTGTTGTGAACAGAAATCGTTGGTTTATGTCCTGACATGCACGACCATCCTGATGTGTTGTGGACAGGAATCGTTGGTTCATGTCCTGGCATGCACGACCATCCTGATGTGTTGTGGACAGGAATCGTTGGTTCATGTCCTGACATGCACGACCATCCTGATGTGTTGTGGACCGGAATTGTTGGTTCATGTCATTAAATGCACGACCTTACTGATATTGGATGTTGTAGACAAGAATTCTCGTTAGTCCATTTTCTGACAGGTACGACCCCCTACTCAATTCAGAAGTTGTCCTGTCAGATCTCACAACAGAATGAAAAAGTGACATTTTCTTCTGTTTTCATTTATAATGGTTAAACTATCTCTTTTAGGCTTCATAATCTTTCTCATGTTGAGACATTGTAATCTTCAATTGTTACATTCATTATCTTGCAAGCAATTTGACTCCTTCAATTATAATCAGTCTACAAATATCTTGCCTTACTATTTTCCTTACCAGCTAATCTTATAAATATAATCAAACTATATCCTCTAGTAGGCCTACTATTAAAACACAACTATGCACACCCCCAACATTATAAAACTGCATAACAAACCCCACAATGAGCTTATTCGTGAAGAGTTATTTTTACTATTTTAGTACTTAGTTCCACATATATATTCAGTAACCTCTCGCTATTACTTTAAGCCTAGCCAGAGCCCCATTACTCTGGTACTACTGTGACCATAATTCTCGAGAGATCAACCATTTTACGGTTGAACTTGTTATGGAACTCTTTTGCCTCTTGGACTTTTTCGAACCTTAGAGTAGCTTTCTTCTTGTCAGGTTCATAAGAGAAGGACTGAAACAAAACAGTTATACTTAGTATCCAAAAATTCTATATTTAAAAAATTACAAAGATTGGAAAATTAAATGGTGTTTCAAAATATCTAGGTCCATTTCTAAAAACACAGCTGCATCATTGAATCTTATCAAACTATCATTCAAAACATACTGTTGATGGCTATTTCTTTACATAAAACAGTTCAAATTGTGGTCCTTATACTTTACAATGTTATTAATTTGTTATTAGAAAGCATCATGAATTTTTAACTTATAGCCCAAGGACAAATTACATCTGGGTACTTAATCGATCTTGCTCCGGACAAAACCAGCAATTATCAGATTTGAAATCGAACACTATAACCATTTAGCTGACCAGAAAATCAATGTTGGTTTAGTAATTGTTAATTAGTATATCAAATAAAATCATCCTTTATTCATATTGTACAAAACATAATGAATAGTGTTAATTATTAATAATACCAACATAAAAATAATATATAAGCCATACAAAAGTCAGCTACATTTCATCACTAGGGCCTAAAGTGACACTTTTCAACATGCGCACGTCGGAAAATGAAGGAGGGTTGAAAATACAACTGTTGCCTGTGAGAGAAAAACTTTACAAGTGTTATGTTTAACGCTCGATAATTGTTGAATATTTAAAATAAAAAAATTTATCCCAGAAAAAATTCCGCACATCACTGCCATAATTACAGAATTTTCGTAACATTCCCACATAGTTCATGGCGTCATAATAATATAGTATTCCCGTACAGTTCCCGCTTTTCCTGGTCGCGGGACACCCTGTAAACGAACACCAGAACTTATCCGTTTTTCATCCACAATATTCTACTCTTAGGCCTACGTGTTGGCCATAGCTTGGGTTATGGGCCAAAGAACGTAGGCCTAGTTTTAAACACAGTGAAGTATATACACACACTCAAACGACATATTTATTAATAATATCACTCCAATTGATCAAATAAAGTTAAACCGACCGATTATACAAATATTTAACGCCGACGACTATATAAAATAACCTCAACACTGGTGTTTGTTGTCAGATGACAGACGAAAACTAGACCGGCTCAAAAAGTGATTTTTCAATCAGCTGTTGTTTAGTAGTACCTAAGTTTGTCGCTAGAGTGTGTAAGCCTCCACTGGACTGGAATAAGAGATTTTACTTAAAGACAGATTATTTCTTTGTACGCCGTATTTGAAGGAACTTCGTCCCTTCGTCGTTTGTTACACTCGTCCGTTATCTACACTCGCACGATCATCATTAATTCGTTTACTGAAAGGTTAGCTATATATTAGTTAATCACATTACCACGACTTACGTTTAATTTTTGTTTAACATTCGGGTTCTCGTTTCCAAATTTGATTTTAAATATCTACATTTTAATAACTTGGACTTTAATAACTTGGACTGCTGGTTTAATAATAAGCCGACTTGCTTCATACCCACCAGTTCCTGCCTGCCAGTGACTAGCGGTGGCTGTAAACAGATGGTCAGGCTTACACGTGACCATGGGATTGCATCACAGCTGCAACAGGTTTTTGTGTAGGCCTACTAACAATGCGGTGGCCGTACGTTGGCTTGGTTTAATTTAATTGGCTCAAAATTACAACAGCCCTCGTTTGTTTATTAAATTTATCATTTTGTTTCACCATTTGGATCGATTCTGGTTTTTTCCTCGTCGTTTTAATACCCCGAGACTTGCCTGAACCCCGTCATTGGTGGGCGATGCTGTAGAATCAAGTCTTGGGATTTGTTCAGTCACGAATAAATTTATACTAACCGCATCACCCTGGATTCTTTGTTTCAAGGGCGGTCCCAGGGTGGGGAGGTCAGGGGGGTCATGACCCCCCAAAATATTTTTTATATATATAAACTATTATACCAGGGGAACTTTAATAATATTTATTGCAAATCGTTCTGTCAAATTGAAATTCATTGTAGTCTTTACACTTGTGGCGAATGAAAGGACTAATTACAAACTCTAACCTAAAACTCAACGTTCGAGTCTGACTGTTTTTTTTTTTTGTACGTTATGAAAAGTAGGGAAGATCGGCAGACGACGGACACTTTCAGCCATATACAGCAACGGCAGTGTCCGATGCTGACATTCGACGTTCAGCCGCATTCTTCTTCTTATTTAATTTTTCGGTATTTAATGTTATCATTCATTTTAACCTAGATGATTGAAAACTTGAATTAGGTTTGGGTATTCGATAAAGAAAAGAAGTTGTATCAATAGTCAAAGTTAGAAAGGTAGTTGAATATTAGTTTATCTGAGTTGAGCGTTAGGAATTTGTAATTACAGTAATGTAATTCAATGATTACCGTAGCAAATTTCAAAACTTTCAATATTAAATAGTATTCATATTTAGAGCACCTGATATCATTTTTAAGAATACCACGACCCAATTGACGTGTTGCTAGCCATAAAACAACAACAAAATGGTAGTGTCTCAGACTTACATGTGGAAGGGGCAGATTTAATTCCCAGCAACCACAAAATCGTTGCACAAAAACTTTATTCTCACGTTGACCCCTTGTAAAATGTCACTGGCACTGGCGTAGAAAAAATGAGAACACTGAGAACCAATTCTCCAGGCGGTACCAGTGACGGGACGCCGACGGCAACGTTAGTTGGGTAGTGTACTTTGTGTAGGTTAACTGTTGCTTACTGGGCAGGTATAATGCAGTCATTTTGGGTCCAAGTTCTTAAACACTTCTTAGATAATATGAGTTCTCTGGTTCGAAATCTTGGTCTGATTTTGGACATTTTCCGTTTAGCATGCACATTGGCACCAGTTGAAAGCATGGTGGAAGGAAAATACATCAACCATGAGTTGAAAGGGTGTTTTCGTAAATCAATAATGCTTGAATGTGTTGTAATGTTGCGGTATTCCTTTGATATTAAAACCCCAAGTCTCAATAATGCAAAAACATGACATTATACAAGTTTATTTTTAGACATTTCTTTGACCTTTAAATAAACTGGGAAGCTTAACACATTAAACTAGGCCCTCAAAATAGCTTCAAAACCACTCATTTTAGCACGTTATTTCCAAATTTTTCCCCGGGGGGGGAACCTCCGGACCCCCCTCCGTTGCTGGGGGGTATTCCATGCCCCCCAGGCCCCCACCCCAAAATATATGTCTAGGACCGCCCGTGCTTTGTTTACATATATTAATTAGACTCTGTAGGAATTTTTATATTATATTCTTTTTTAGATTATTTACAAACGTTCTTAGCCAAATAGTTTAATGTTTAGTACGAGTAGTTTTATCAAATTGACTGAGATAGAACACTCGTCTGCCCTAAATAGTCTGACCGGAAAGTTAGGCAAAATTTCCCATAACACTTAAACGAAGGTGGGGGATTATATAGCTCCAACTGAGCGTCTGCAGGGCTTCCTGAGCGCTTCTAGAGCTCTGAGCCTTGGATTAAATTCAATAAATCGATCAGTCAATGTCGTGAGCAACTTCGGATTGACCCCTGAATTTTTCTCGACTCCTGAGCACTCCAGGGAAGAAATTTGAGTGTGGCTGGTTCTAGGGTTAGGCCTAGCCTGACTTATGCTGAAGGAAAACCTATAAACTTAGTAATTAAGAGCAAACCCTTAAACAAAAGTTGGAAGAGCTAGTAATGAAATACTTACTGTAACTGTGCCTACTTGTTTGGCCATCTTCTGTATGTTGGCTTGTGTGGTACTGAGGGACAGGTTATCTATAGTGACTAGATGAGAGTCAGGCAGCTCAGGTTTGGCCACCTTCACAGGATTGGTTGTTCTGTTGTCTATTACCAGGCGCTGTGGTGTCGTCTGCAAAATTACAGCGGTTGACATCATGATACAGTAAGTTCTGTGTGGCTCCCAGCTAAAGATTTGACAAAATCTATTGTAACACGTGTTATTTATATTTAATGATTAATAAAGATTTTATTTGATGAAAAAAACTACAAAACCAACTTTACACAAAGGTAGAAAAAAAACCTGGTGCCAAATATGTCCTTCAAATCATCTTGATACTTCAAAATAATTACCAACAAATTATTTAAGCTGTTACACATCCATTCAACAACACTAATTAACTTAGTCTCTATACTTACTTTTGGCATAGTGGCAAACGGAGTTGTCTGAACAGTAAACAACGTTCGTCCTTGAGCATTCTTGGTAGCTACAAGCCTTGGAACAGTGGTACCTCGCAGAATCGACGTGGTGCCGGTCTTACCCTGGAATTGGAATATAAAATAAAATCTTTTCAAAATAACAAATAAATATTGTTGGTTAGTTACGAGAAAAAGTATTAAGTCACATTGTAGTAAATACTAAGCAAAGGTGTATGTCTTTATTTTAAAGAATCAAAACTCGTCAAACATGTTAACATCTTTAGAGTTTCTGACTTGCACGTGTTCCAATGTTTAAAATTAAACATTCACAGGTTAGAACAAAGGATTTAAAATTTAAGAACATAAAACCGATATGAACCCAAAATTAACCAAGTCAATTTACTTTTTTAAGTGTGCTTGAAATATCTTATTGTAAAAGATAGTTTAAATGTAGATGTAATTACGGTTGAATCTTATATCTGAAAGTACAAAAAAATAATACTACGTAAAATAATACTTGAAATGTAATAATATATTTACACTTACACTGTTTACTCTCAAGACGGTAAATACATATAAAAGATGATAAGGATTAGTGGTGATCGATTTCAGTAGAACACTCCATTCATCATCATACCCAAGACAAATCAAAGAAGTTTAGTTTTATCAAGTTTGGGAAAAATGATTAAGTACCAAAAAACACAACTATTTTTATCATACTGATAAAAAACGAACAGGCATTGTATTCTACTAATAAAGAGTTTTAATTTGATGTACCTATGCTTCTATTTAAATTTTTTCCCGACTCCTTGTGGGCATCCCCCTTAAGTGGCAGCGGCTCATTGAAGTTGTAGTAAAATAGTGTTTGATGCCCAGTAACAGTGTACCAACTTGTATACTGTAGCTCCATCTTTAACGGTTAAAAAAATATTAAGCCATCCCAGGACTTTTCACTACCCCTGTATAGCCTTAAGGTCCATTTCTTATCCTACGACTGTTACGACTCTAGTCTAGGCTGACAAAATTGACTGCTTTAATGCAAAGTAAATGCAACCGTTTCCTATCGAGCGTCTACAGCCGCGCGACTGAACTGCTCACGGAGCAGCCCAGTTGCGACGGCTCCAGTCGCTTCAGTCGCACGGCTGTAGACGCTCGATAGGAAACGGTTGCATTTACTTTGCATTAAAGCAGTCAATTTTTTCAGCCTAGACTAGAGTCGTAACAGTCGTAGGATTGAATCATCTATGAAGGTACACACCTCAAAATTCGTATGTATAAACTATAAATTCGTTACAGCTGCGCGACTGAAGCGACTTAACTGCTCACGGAGCAGCCCAGTTGCGACGGCTCCAGTCGCTTCAGTCGCGCAGCTGTAACGAATTTATAGTTTATACATACGAATTTTGAGGTGTGTACCTTCATAGATGATTCAAAGTTGATGGAACTGGTTCGTCACCACCCATACGTTCACCCCCAATACTTGAAGAAGATGTCTCTGAATAAGAATACTTTGAAACCCCCTATTTTAACCGTATCATGAACAATGGATTAGGTTGTTCATTGTTTTTCACCATGCACATTAATAATTCCTTTTCCTCCTTTTTTCCAATATCCCAACCCCAGCAAACCCAGTATCGCTGCCAACTGTGCTTATTCCATGACGGTCAGTAGTGCAATTTCAATAGTCACTAGTTGTGGGAGTTGTAGGAGTCGTGGCATAGGAATTGAGACAAGCGTCTCCGGCCGTACGGCTCTAGACTAAAGTCGTAACAGTCGCAGGATAGGAAATGGACCTTTAAGCTGGTTATAAGAAAATTACAATTAATTATGCACCTGGTTATTGACGTTCAGGAGAACTTTTCTATTAGAATTGACTGTGACGCCAGTTGATGATGGATTGGTGACAGTCTTCGTCAAAGATGTGGTGACTCCTCCTTGTGTTATAGCAATGGGTGTCTAGAAAAAATAAGTAAAATAGTGACAAACAGTAAAACCCATTGATGCCAGATTTTTTTATTTCTCCAACACATGTTTTTTGGTTGTGTTGTTTTATGACTTTTATTTCTTGTAAATGAATTTCCTTCGTTTGAGATTTGTTTCCTCCTCCTTGTGTTATATCAATGGGTGTCTAGAAAAAATACCCCCGCCGCAGCAAACCTGCCGTCTAAGCGAATTTCCATTTGGCCGAATTGATTTTCAATTGATCTATTTAAATAACATTAGGTTTAACGAGTACCTAGGTTTGCTGCTACAAGGAAACTAATAAAGTAGTGTGTTTTTAGTAAAATATTGATAGCTTACTATAAAATAAATAAATTTGCCAAGTTTGATCAAAATATATCCATAAACAAGCAAACTACAACATTTTACAATATTCTCCATAAGAATAACATGGGAATTTTAAATTTACCATTTTTTTAGTTTTCTCCGTAACCAATACTTTGATATACTGAATTGTTTGTTTTTTTAAGCTCTTTAAGAAGGTTTAGGGAAAATTGGGAAATTTTGTGTTTTGAGGGTAAGAAGTGAGAAAAACCAATTTTTACCCCATAAAACCCTGTTCCCATGGTCCGATCATGCTGGATCGCGAACTCATTCAAGTTTATCCCGCCTTACACCTTCAAACCAAATTTCATCAAAATCGGATAAAAATTACTCAAATTATCGTGTTCACGGACACATATATATATATAAATCTATATATATATATATAAATTTGAACAAATGGTGTTTTTGGCCTCTGGGGACATTAAAATGAAAAAGTAAATCAGTCCCGGGCCTAAGTCTTACCATGAGACCTACGGTAATAGCTACTTCCCTATAGGGAAATTCGCTAAAATGCATAAGTAAATTAGAATAACAGTAAAACCCGTTGAAGCCCGATTTTTTATATTTTTCCAACACATTTTTTTAGTGTCCTTTAATGTTTTATTTATTGTAAATGTATTTCAACACAGTTGGCCTAAGTCAATTTTTAACCAAAATAAAAGCAAAGCCGAAAAGAAAATCTGTGTTCCTCCTCTACCAATGTAAAAAGAAAAAATGAAAATATTTATGTTTTTTAATAAATTGTGAATGTTATGTGTCTACATGTGTTTATATATCAACAAAGACTTCTGTCAGATTTATTTACCAACCAATTTGATGTGGGTTTGAAAATGGGTTCTTGTACCCAAAACTAGACACCCCATACTAATAAAAAGACTGAGGACAAAAAGGTATGTAACTATCGTATTCTCCGTACATCAGTCTTGGTAGCAAAATTGTAAAAAAAAAATTATACAGGATAATTTATTTGTTATTGTTAAAATTGAATCAACTATTCTTTAATAACACTCACACAATAATAACTTTTATTTACTTTTTTTATCATAACAAAACTAGATATATAACATATGATTTTATAAAACAGGTAATAAGTAAATTGGATGATGTTGTAACTCCAACACACCCTCTCAACATCATGCCTAGTAAAGTCCTAGGTAAAAGAGTGATCTTTTAAACACTTGCCCTAGAAGTGGCTTTGTTAAAAGGTCCGCTTGATTATTTTCACTTGGACAGTATTCCAGAAATACTTCGTTCTTACTTATCATTTCTCGGACGTAATGTTTTCGAATATCTAAATGTTTTATTCTAGCACTTATCTTTTCATTTTCAATAAACTTGATACAGCTCTGATTGTCTTCAAATATTACTGTAGGATTTTCTTGGGGGAAGCCCATATCTTTCAACAATAGTCTTAACCACACTACTTCTTGAGTGGCTATGCTTGCGGCCATGAATTCAGCTTCTGTTGAAGAAAGAGTGACATTGGTCTGTTTTTTGCTAATCCAGTTTATAGTGCTGTTTCCTAACTTGTACATCATTCCGCTGATTGATTTTCTATCTGCTAAATCACCCCCCCAATCAGCATCTACATAGCATGACAATTTCAATTCTTTTTCCACCCCTAATTTTAATTTCTTGTCAATGGTACTTTTCAGATATCTTATTATTCGCTTTACAGCATTCCAATCACTTTGGGTGGGTTTTTCAACTCTTCTAGCTAGAATTCCAACAGCTGACAAAATATCCGGTCTTGATGTCACTGCAAGATAAAGAAGTGATCCTATTGCCTTCCTGTACATTTTGTTATCTGGCAGATCTGGTGACATAGCTGTTGAGTTGATAAATCCAACTTCCATTGGTGTTCTTGCTGGTTTACTGTTTTCCAGTCCATGTTCAATTATGACTTTATTTATTTTTCTTCTTTGGTGAATGTAAAAGTCTCCATCCATCTTATCAATTTCAACTCCTAAGTAGTTGTGAACAACTCCTAAGTCTTTCATTTCAAAGCATTGTGTCAGTTTTTGAAATGTTTTCTTGACATTTTCAATTGATCCAACACACAAAATGTCATCAACATGAACCACTACATATGTATAATTTCCATCAGTATTACTCGTATATAAACAAGGGTCAGAATTGCTTTTTTCAAATCCCATGCTCATCATTGTTGTATTCAGTGTTTCATTCCAGGCCCGAGCTGCTTGTTTTAGCCCATAAATTGATTTCTTCAATTTATAAACTTTATCTTCATTATCAGATTTCACAAAACCTTCGGCCTGTTGCATATATATTTCTTCTTCTAACTTTCCATTTAAAAAGGCTGTTTTTACATCAAAATGATGCACAGTCAGATCTTTTGTCGCTGCTATGGTTAGTAAAATTCTTACTGTTGTTGAGTTAACAACAGGAGCAAATATTTCATCATAGTCTTCTCCATATTTCTGTGAGTAACCTTTGGCTACTAAACGTGCCTTATAGCGCTCAACCATACCGTCATCTCCATACTTTGCTTTAAATATCCATTTACATCCAACTGCTGTTTTCTGTGGAGGTAAATCTACAAGTTCCCATGTATCATTTTTTAATAAGGCTTCCATTTCTTCTTGAGCTGCTACAACCCATTGTTTTTTCTCAGGTTCAGACAATTCCTCCAATTGTTTCCAAGATTTTGGTTCAATCACATTTCCTTGAGCTATTAATGATAGTCTGTTAGGAGGAACACCTTTTGTTTTTCTTTCAGATTTTCTTACTTTCAAGTTAATATCATTGTTCTGATGATCATCTCCATTATTATCCCCATCAATCATATATGGCTCATCATGTTCAATCTCTTCCATTTCATTTGACATATGTTCTTTAGTTTCATTTGTTGATGTTTGCCTATCATCAAGTACATTTTTCTCATCAGTACCTTTTGGTTGATCAACTTGAACACTTCTTTGATTTTCTTCGACCTTTTCATGTCTTTGGAGTAAACTGTCTACAGGCAATACCCTAAAGCTCGAATTAGTATGATTTGCATCGACATGTGGAAAGGAAGATGTGTCAAAAACTACATCTCGAGTTGTAATGATTTTCCTATCTTCGGGTAACCACATCCTCCAGCCCTTTGATACATCTGAGTAACCAACAAATATCCCTTCTTTTGCTCTTGATTGAAACTTGTCATTTGTCTTGTCTAGGATAAAACCTTTACAACCAAACTTTTTTAGATATGAAACATTTGGAATTTTCCTATACCATCTATGATATGGTAATACACCATCAATTGCATCTGATGGGCATCTATTCCTAACATGAGCTGCTGTTGCAACTGCCTCTGCCCAAAACGTTTGAGGAAGATTTGCTTCAATGAGCAAACATCTTGCCATGTCGTTTAATGTACGATTCATCCGTTCAGCCACTCCGTTTTGTTGAGGCGTTCCGCTACATGTTAATCTTCTCTGAATACCATTACAATTCAAAAATCCATCGAACTCTCTGTTAACATACTCTCCTCCATTGTCTGTTTGAAGATATTTAATTTTTCTTCCAGTAAAATTTTCTACTTTGTTCTTGTACTTTTTGAAAGAATCTAATGCATCACTTTTCTTCTTCAAAAAGTAAACTTCAACCCATCTTGAGCTATCATCAATAAAAGTAATGAAATATTGAGATTTTCCGTGTGACTCAGTTTTCATTGGTCCACAGATGTCAGAGTGAATAATGTCCAACACTTCAGATGTTCTTTCACTTTTAGGAAAGGGTCTTTTTGTAAATTTTCCTTGAATACACACCTCACATTGTGGAATAAGCTCTTTTGTGTTCACTTTAATACCTTTAACCATATTTAAATTGATTATTCTTTTCAAGTCTCTAAAGTTCAAGTGTCCAAAATGTTGGTGCCAAGACAATAGACTTGATTTTTCACAGCTTATATTCATTTCTTCACTACTCTCTTGTACGTAATAAAGTCCATTTAACCATTAACTTGGATCTTTGACTGTCCATTCTGATCTATTATCAAAGCAGCATCTTTTTTAAACAAAACTTGATACCCATGGTCAGTAATTTTAGCTACAGACATCAGGTTTGTTCGAAGTTCTGGTACATACAAAGTGTCATACAAATTAACGCTTAGATTTGTACTCCCATTTAAAATGGTCATATTAACTGTTCCAACCCCTCTTGCATCAGTTGATGAATTGTTGGCAAGAGATATACTTCTTCCATTTGCAGGCTTGTACTTGGTAAATTTACTGTTCACATGAGTCATATGTGAAGTGCATCCACTGTCCAAACACCACTGTATATCTTTCATTGACAAGTTTCCAAAATAACTGTCATCTTGTACAGAAGAATTAAGTCCTACTTCTTCTAGTTTAGCAATCGCTACGTTTTGTTGATCTTTATTTGCTTTGGGACAAAATTTTGCTTTATGCCCGATCGCTTTACAAATAAAGCATCGAAACGGAAAATCAACTGATTCCGTTCTATTTCTATAAGAGTCTTTTGAAAATCTTCCTGGTTGAAATCTAACTTTGTTTTGAAATTTTCCTAGCAGGGCTTCACTACTCTCTTTCTTACCATGTTCTTTTCTCGCTTCCCACTCTTCTACAATTTTTATTTTTAAAGTTTCAGGAGAAGGCAGTGCATCTCTAGTTTCAATAGCAATTCTAAAGTTTTCAAATTCATCTGACAGGGAATACAAAAGAATAATTGTCAAAAGATCCTCATTAATATCGATTTCCATTCCTTTTAATTTGTCCACTACATCAAAAAACATATTCATGTAATCTCTGACATCATAATCAGGTGTCAGTTTTGCCAAAATTAGCTTCTTCAACAAAAAGGCTTTCCTTGCTGGTCCACTGGAATCATAAATGCCTTTTAATTTTTCCCATATCTCTGCTGAAGTGTTACATCCTTTCACTTGCTTTAATTCGCTTGGGCTGATAGAGAGGATTATATCTGCCTTTGCCTTTGCATCAGTGATTAGCCAAGCAGTCATTCTTTCACCTTCTTCTAGAGGCCTTTTAATGGTTCCTAACACATACCCAAGCAAATCATTTTTAACTAAAATTGCTTCCATCTGCATTTTCCATGTGTCATAATTATTTCTGTTCAAAAGTTCAATGTGATTACTCATATTTCTTTCCATATTCCTCACTTAATTGAGTCTCATAATCTGTTAAAATTGAATCAACTATTCTTTAATAACACTCACACAATAATAACTTTTATTTACTTTTTTTATCATAACAAAACTAGATATATAACATATGATTTTATAAAACAGGTAATAAGTAAATTGGATGATGTTGTAACTCCAACAGTTATTTTAGTGTTTATGAACACCAGTGGTTTTGGAAAATGGCGAATTTCATCAGTGTAATTTTATTCAGGCTTACCTTACTTTTTGTCTGGAAATGGAAAGGAAATAACAGGGAGTGAGTGGTCATGGAACTCATGCAATACGTAAGTCTTGTAATCTATAAAGGAGCATACAGAAGATATTATAACACAGATAAGTTACAATTATAAGTTAATTTGATACATATCAAAACTGAGAACACTACGTGTGCAGAATCACGAGGATCGTTTGACAACTAAGGTCTTGCAATAGTATCAATGGCAGCCAACAAATCTGATGCAAGTGTTATGTTCTTTGAATTCCCTCTACTATCTAGCCTATTCTACCCCTCTAAGCAGCAATTGGTCTGGTCATCAGCTAATAACAATGTGATAGGAAGTCAACGCACACCTGCCAAGTATAATCTTGTTCTGTGATTAGGTTTCCGTGGATGGGAGGTCAACAACCACTACAACCACTACTGAAGTCTGTTAAAAGTTGACAGACGTCTAAAAAAATATAATAAAGCTACTGGAGCTCATTGCATACCTTAATTTGCAGACAATCCTTAGCTTAAGTATTGCATTTGTACTTAAGAAGAAAGTAACAGCTATACCATCCTAGTTCAATATAACATGCAAAGTTTTTATTTGTGGCTATGTACTAAACAGAGGGTATATGCGATACATAAGTGGCCTAAACTATCTAACTAGTGACTACACACATTCAAATGTTGATATTGGTTTGACTAAAACTCAGAATCAATAACATATTACATACCTTTCTGGTAACAATGGAACCCTCTTTGGTTCGTACTTTTACAATTTTATATACAGTTCCCTGTATATTTTGTATCTGGACCTGAGGCAAGTTAGGTTTGGCCTGGTTGACCGGGGCCTTCATTTGTTTGCCTCTGGAATTTTGTAGCACCTTGTTCACAGATCCCCTACCTCGGCCCACCCCCCGCATTTGGCCCGCTCCCCGCACTTGGCCCACCCCCCGCATTTGGCCCGCTCCCCGCACTTGGGACACAGCTCCGACCCGCTGTTGGGGTTGCACTCGCTGAACTGGCTGTTGTACAATAACCTTTTGTTGCACTTGAACCGGATTCACAACCATCTGTTGTACAGGAACTGTTGTAGGACCAGAATCTAAAAAATCACATTTCTATTATTACCTACTGCATTTTTTAATAAACGTTTTCAATTAACATCATAATTAACAAGATTGATTCTACACCCAGATGACATTTGTAATTTTGCTGTAAGAGATTTTCAACTTATTTATCATGTTAGTATGTAACAGATAGGAAGACAATAAAATTCAATGAAGTTAAATGAAGTATTATTATTCCAGGTGTTAGGCAGAATATATTAGTGACGTGCATGGTCCATCAATTTGATCTCTGCCTGCATCAATCAATGACGCTGTATAACAAGGTCGAGACAAGAGTAGGAACAGGGTTTGGACTGTTCCCTATCAAAAAATGTAAAAAATGCTGATGGTGTAGGTAAATTCAAAATTGAAAAAGTTGCAACAAAACCAGTTAATTATCAATGTTTAGCAATATTGAAACATTTTTTTTATATCCAAGAGTCGGATATATTGAAACTCATTTAAGCTATAACTTTAAAATAGTTAAATCCTAATGTTTTCTCTCTAAAAACTATTTTTTTATTAGAAAATTAAATCTTACTTGAATTATTATCAATATGACTTTGATTTTTTTGTTTCTCCAACGCAGCAGCTAACCTCCGAGCTTCCTTTTCCCTCAAAATTTTTTCCCTCAACGCTTTCTGTTCTGCAATTTTCATACGATACTGTTTCGTTTCTTCATCTTCTTCCACATCAGGCTCATTATCTTGTTTGGTCGTCGTGTCAGGTAGGGTGTCTATAGTCTTGATCTCTTGTAAATTACTCCTAGTGTTGACTGCAGGCTTATTATGATCAAACCTCATTTGTTTAGTCGGGGCCACATTGATGGGCGGTAGCCTCGGCGCCAGCCTTTTCATCACAGAAACTTTAGGATTATTTTGAAACGGTTTTTGGGGCGGAGGCCTGAAATTTGGCGGTTGGTTGGGGAATGAGGGTTGTGGATGTCGGAATTGAGGCTGGGGCGGATTAAAGGGCGGAGATGGACCTTGGGGTCCTGGGGGGTAAAACTCCCCAGGTTGTTGTGAGTTCCAATTGTCATACTCATTTTGGTACGGCGGGTTCTGCTGATATTCCGGTGGAGGATATCCACCATAATTTGGATTAGGGTTAGGATTTGGACCAGGATAAGGATTCGGGGGAAAGTTTGGCCTCAGGGGTGGGTTGTACTGAGGAGGATACATGTTGTTGTTGAACTGAGGAGGAGGGGGAGGTTGATACTGGTTAGGGGGAGGGCCGAAGTTCTGGTCGTATCCCGGTCGCTGGAAGTGCTGGTTCTCCACTGTAATGAGCTGGGAGTTCTCGTTGAACTGTACAATACGGTTAGGCGGACTCTGTTGGTGATGGTCCATCTGGCGGAATGGCTCCTCGAAGCCCTGCAGCAAAATTGTGAACATTAAATGGGTCAGAAACTTTTGTAAATGAAGCTTCAGTAGAACTCCAACTATCCAAATCAATACATTTTAATAATGAAAAATTTGGATAGTTAGATTTTCACAGAAATTCATGGTACTATACACATAAAGGCTGAGTTGAGCCGAGCGTTTACTATTACAATCGCAGAACACTTCTGTAAAGATTTTGTGAACAAAAAATTCACACTTTCACCGCAATTGTGGACAACTATTATGAAATTTCATGACCGCAAGGAGACAAAGATGATGTCTACAAGACCTCGGAAAATAAAGATCTTGCTGCAATCACAGATGTTCTAGATTTTGCTATGATCTTTGCCAAAATCACAGTTTCTGCCTTTTTAATAACAACTCTAATTACTTTGCTTTTATGGTTTTTAAATGTTCATTTTTTATGGTTTTTAAAGCAATGATAGAGTAATTTTAAAACTTCCAACAACTTGAGAATGAGATTTATTGCAGTACTGTTTGAAGTGGGAAAGCTAAAAATACTTTAAGGGTGTTTGGTCAAAAATTTGATGTCTTATTTTTTGTTATTGTTCAATTGTACTAAAAATTAGAGATACAAATATATAAGAAAAAATTATTTATTTTGAATATTAAGCGAGATATGGAGCTTGAAAGTAGTAAATTTTTAATCTTTGGTACCAGTTCACAGGGAGAATGGGTAATGCGATTCTCACCAAAATTTGCATTCAGGTGTGGAAAAATAAGATAATAATCACTAGCTATTTAAAATTAAAAATTGAAAAAAAGATTATTTTTTATTTTTTATAATTTTTTTAAAAAATTAAAAAAAAAATTTTAAAAATTTAAAAATAGCTCTTTGTTTTTGGGAAAAATGTATCTGTATGTTGGAATAAAAAAAAAAGTGATATGTTATCTCGTTTGGGCTGTGAATTCGTACCTTTGATGCCTTGCGCTGTCGGAGCACTACTCGTTGAGAGTGTGTACACTAACACCGGGGCTTTAGAATACAACGATAAACGTATTCTTTCAATGTTAAAGGATGTTAATAATTACGTGATGTTAAAGCATTCTAAAGCCCCGGTGTTAGTGTACAAACTCTCAACGAGTAGTGCTCCGACAGCGCAAGGCATCAAAGGTACGAATTCACAGCCCAAACGAGTTAACATATAACATTTTTTTTATTCCAACATACAGATACATTTTTCCCAAAAACAAAGAGCTATTTTTAAATTTTTAAAATTTTTTTTTTCAATTTTTTTAAAAATTTATAAAAAATGAAAAATAATTTTTTTTTTAATTTTTTAATTTTAAATCGCTAGTGATTATTATCTTATTTTTCCACACCTGAATGCAAATTTTGGTGAGAATCGCATTACCTATTCTCCCTGTGAACTGGTACCAAAGATTAAAAATTTACTACTTTCAAGCTCCATATCTCGCTTAATATTCAAAATAAAACATTTTTTCTTATATATTTGTATCTCTAATTTTTAGTACAATTAAACAATAACAAAAAATCAGACATGAAAATTTGCGACCAAACAGAGTTGCCTAACAAATATTGATATATTTCTAATTAATAATATCTGAAAAAACTGGAGGAATGAGGGTGAAACATAAAAATACCTATAATACTTTGTCAATTTCTTAGTCCATGATATCAGCAGTTACCTGAGGAGGGTGGTGAGGTGGAAATCCTTGAGGTCCAGGGAACGGCCCACGTGGCCCTTGGTGTGGGTGATGGTGGGGATGAGGGGGGTGTGGTGGCCTACCCATGTAGTGAGGTGGCACAGGTCCCCTCCATCCCATGTCCTGTATTGAGTATAGACAAATAAATATATCTTATTGTCACACAACATTTCATTAGCTCATAAGTTATATGATTATAGAAAAAATAAATAGAAAATTTGATTGGATGCAACTTTTTCAAGAATCATTAAAAAAGAATGCAGGGCATAAGCATCTGTAGTAGGCAAACATACAGTTCCGGCCATTTAAAGAGTGAAAATGTCTACGGGTAGACCGGGTCAGGCCTAATCCGCTGTTGTCAAAACATAGCTATTGTTGTGAAACCGAGGGGGCGCGCTACCCCATCCCAGCGGTCATTGCTACTGCCTCCCTTTAATTCTTAGAAATAACTCGGCCCAGTACAAATTCTATAAATCGAATGGGCGATTCCCTATAATTAAGTGACAGGTCATTTTATTCACAAAGTGAAGACGAATATCACGAAATTTTAATCACAATTCTACGTTGCTTCGTTGATTGGCTAGTCGATGTTGAGAAGCAGCAGGCTTGCCGCTCACATTATAAAGTTATCTGTTCTCCATGAGTATTTGAGTATTAAAGCTTTGAAAAATTAAAATGGTTGCCGTTTTGAATCTATACAAAGTAGAAAATTGATGCTTTGGAAAAGAATAGTTGCTATTAATTAAAATCGGGACCACATAAGTTTGCAGTTAGTGGCAGCTAATCACAAGACGAGGCTAGTGCGACGTTGCTACATCACCCATTGACAACACTAATTAAAATATACAAAGCTATATTTTCAAATCAGCTGGTATAATTAGATTTGGCAACACCACACTGTTCTCATTGGTTCATTGAAAACCATATAGGAGTAAATAGGCTCCTCCCTCAACTGCAAACTTATGTGGTCCCGACTGTAGTCATCATATACATACTAAGTTTGAAGTTAGTACCTCATGTGGTTCCAAAATTATGGGAAGGTTTGTAAAAAGAACATACACACTGACAGATGGAAAGCTGACAGGAACATGACCACGGGAGTTTCGGGAGAGAGTTTTGAAACACCCTCCATATTATGAATGATTTCTACTAAGCTAGGTCTACTTAGCAAACTGTTGCACCCTTACCTGAGGTGGAGGGAAGTTTTCACAGCCTGGAGGAGGAGGGAGTCTGTCATTGTCCCACACATTAGGACCTGAAATTCACAAATTTCCTGTTAAAAGTCACTAAACAATGGAGTACTACAAAATGTTATACATTTTTATAATACTGACACTTTGACTAAGATCTTGAAAACCCTTTACACCCGTAAATGGAACGGAGATATTTGACTAAAAACGCAAAAAGAACATTGAGCCAAAAGGTCACATGTATGCATAAGGGGGGTTTTATGATCATAAAATGGTGTAAAGTCATAGTACATTTTAAGCTATTATGACAAGGAGTATGCTGGTCGCCAAAATTTTAAAATCTTGCCAGGCCAACAGTTGGCAAGGGATCACCCTAGCAATTACAGAAAACAAGTCTGTAATGATTGCGCGAATGAAAATTGCCCCAATCATATGATACTTTTACGATTTTGCCACAAAAAAACTTTTAAGATTTAGCCACAATTTTGCAACAACCTCACTAGACGATGGTGATGTCACTGCTAACTTCATAACGTGATCGTGGCCGATAATTTTTGAAATAAGATTGTAGCTACAGCAAAACCGCACCAAGTGGACAATTTGCGAACCAAGAAGTTGTCAAGTTTGTTGGTTGAGTTGAAAACATTGAAATTTCAATAAGTTTTTATAAATGAATACATAACAGACTAATAAAAAAAATATTATTTACATAAGTATTTTTACATGAGTATTTTATTTTTTTATTTTTACATATTTTACACTTACTTAAAGGACAGTCTGTTTCATTACTTAACTTCACAATGTAAAACTGCAATTCTTCTAATGACTGTAGGGTACTTTTATATCTTCTGATATTTTGATTCTGTTAAATAATAGTTTTGGATCTTGTGATCTCAAATATAATCTTGGATCTTGTCAAGTTATAAAATAAGATCAGGAACTAAGCTTTATTCACCTTGGTGCATCCCTCCACGGAAGTGTGGGTTCAAGTGTATCTTGTGGCCTGGTGGGGGCATCTGAGGCTGATGCATCATGGGAGGACGATGTCTTGGTCCCCCGCGACCCATCATACCAACTCGGGGCCCCAACCTGCCCCTCATACCACCACGAGGACCTCGTCCTCGATACTGCATACCCCCACCATTGTTCATAGAAGTCTTTACCTGGTCTGGAATATATTGCATTATGAAACCGGGTTTTGGTCCTATTTAATTCATTGAAACTTGGTGAAATCAAGTTAGACTTGATTTTAAAATAACATCACAACACAAAATAACTTCCATCAGGTAGTAAATTTTCAATTACATTAAATTTAGTCAAAACCATCCGCCAAAACCATCCGTCCACAAACCCAATTCTGCATTTGCTGATCATCTGATAAGTAATAACCACGATGTCTCATCTATTGACAAATCCATCAATGTATTACATTTTTATAGAAAAAGAGGTCGTTTCCTGGATACAATCGAAGAATATGAGATATTCAAGGCCGGCAAGAAACATCCCCAACACATCCTCAATGAAAAAACATCGTTTGAGTCAAATATTATTTACGAAGCAGCCTCATTCATTCAAAACTTATCGGAAGACAATGGCACTGATAACAACAAAGGATAGGAGGGGAGGGGAAGGACACGGCGACGGTCAGTCTAGACCTACACCCTGAACCCGCAGCCGCGCCGTGAGTTGTATGGCCATACTGTATTCGTTAAAATGTGTGTTCGTGTTCTTTTTTGTTATTTGTTCGTCTCGTTATGTGTTTTTGAAGACTTTATGACGACCTCCTAGGAGCGAAAAACCACGTCTAGGCTTGACAATGACACCATAAGTGTGTCGAAACCGGTAGCCATTAAGTCTACCAAGGATTACGTTGGCAACAAGGTATTTAACCTCTAGATTAGTATTTGTTAAGTAATCCGGAAGGCAACACCTCAAAAATAAATTTAGTCATCCTAAAATGGCCCTGCGTAAGGAGTAAACAGAAAATACAGTTACAGCCTGATTCTTTGTTTGAATCTAGACTGATAGATGTCACACAAAGAAACTGAGATTGTCCTCAATACCACCAAAGTTTCAGGATAAATGGTATCTTTGGAATGGATTTGAATTATGGACTTGAATTTGATTCATGCACATGGACACTTGTCGCTTTGTCCATAACCACATAAACAAAACCTAAACCTGTTTTACCAGCTCTTTCATTTTCCAGGGTTTATTCTTATACAATATTGTTTAGAAGTAGGCCTACTGTGGTTTACCAATTTTCCACGAGGTTTCAAAACATATCCTTTCATATAATTTACGAAGCAGTGAAAGACTCTTAATATCTAATGTGACTCTCCATGTTGAGAAAGGGGCCAGTGGCCTCGAAATATCCAGTGTTTATTTTGTTTGTTTGTGTTTTCTTCTGTGTTCTGTAGTGAATGAAGTGGGATGCCTACATTTTTTAAGGTAAGCCTGCTTATCCTATCCTTTCTCACACCTATTCTCAGGCAATTAGCCCTTTCTCTCCAAACCTTTCATATAATTTATCAAGGATTGTTTGGGCCAGGATCCAGTCCCAAGGCGTTAAAACAAGACGACTGCTGAAAGCTATTTTGGAATCATGGAACTTAGACACTCTAGACAGATGTACCACACTCTCTATCTACTAGCCTTGTCACCCACCTAGACTGTCAGGAATGTCCTTGAGGTTTTTGCTGCCAATGGCTCCCTTGAGAGATATCACATTGGTTCTCTCAGAACGGAAGCGACTGCCTCTTCCCTCTGTGTCTTCCTCATCACTCTCCCCACCCCCTCTACCGACCAGGATATGTGTAGAGGAGGAGACACCCACAGTGTCACTGCTGTCTTTACCACTGTCTGAAACATCATGATTAGTGGTCTTGATTTAACAATCTAGCATCATTATTCTTATTTTAAAGTCAATACAGTCAAACCTCCTTAGTACGAACCTCGGTATAACGAATTCGTCGATATGACGAGTTATTTTTTTAATGATTTTATCCCCTTGAAACTTTTATAAAGATCCGTGCTAAATACACCTCTGTAGTAATCATGATTTTAACCTCCATAGCACATAGTTTTCAAAACAAACAGAAGCTTGTCACAACATGAAACCCCCACCCATCCCTCTTCCTTCCTCAGTCATTGTCTCAGAGCAAGGAGAAACCTCTATAACACGAACAACGGCAGTAGGACCTATTAAACCTTGATAAAAGAAACCTCTTTACTAAGAATACCTCGATAATATGTTTTTCCCCCTGCACCTTTGAAATTCGTCTTATATAGGTTTGACTGTATAAATTACAAGCTTATCTTGATCATCCAACACATATGGGACTTTGAGGAATCAACGGGAATTTCTGATTACAATAGGTAATTAAAATGCTAAATACTACCATGAACACAAGGAAAAATTAAAAAATACTCCTTCATGAATTACATAAGGTAAAATATTACAAATTGTTTCATATACAATATTTTAAAAAGAAAATCTATACGATAGTTTTAAGTAGGGATGTGTCGATTATTGATACTGATTCTCGATACCACCGATACATGGACATTGGTATCGGTATCGAGAATAGTATACCTATTCCCTAAATGGGTAATTTGCTAAATCTAATTAAATTGAATACATTTTAAAGGTTATGTGATTCCCCTCTCACATTTTAAAGGCTAAGCGCCTGCTCCAGGGTTTAATGGATTGTGTTTAATTTGAACAAAATGTGACTGACCTTCATTAGTTCTTGAAGAACTATCCGTCCATCCCTGTAAAAGAAATGCAACTAAAATCTTTTGCTTTTACAACAACTACACCACATACAGTAATACTAATTAAAGGAGAGTGACAAAAAAAATTATTTTTAGAATATTCTTAAGTAAAAACGGTACAACTCCAATTACTATCTGATTCAATTGAGACCGTACCACATTCAGATAGGCCTAGCCAAAATTTGGATGGTTGGGTTTTTACAAAAATTTAGGATCTTTAAATTTTTTTAAGCGTCTGCGGAAGAGGATGACGATTTCCATGACAATGGAAGATAATAAGGTTATTTACACAACTGGGGAGGTCAATGATAACGTTTATGTTACTGTGGGAGACGATGATGATTTCACAAGACAACAAAACATGTTCAAGATTGCGGGAGATATTCAAAATTTTGCAGCGATTGCAGAAGACAATGATTATGTTTACAAGATTGCAAGACATATTTAAAATTTTGACTTGATAATTTTTTTTTGACTGAGATCACAAATTCTGCCTACTTTTAAAAAGTTTTAAAAACGTTAGTTAAAATTCTAGGTCAAAATTAGGTTTTTAAAATTCTCTCTGAAATCAATTTGGATAGCCCAGTTGGAGCTGTTGTAACTCAAATATTGAAATGAAATGAAATGAAAATCCTTTATTTTTTCAGGCAAAGTTAGGGCCACATGGCCCTTTCTTACACTTAACCTGACAATATTGAGCAGTATAGAAGGAAATCAGTTATCAATGGCATTGGTTTATATATGGTTCAGTAACTGGGCCAGGCGTTTTCAAATTGTGGGGGTTTTTTTTTTACATCACGCTAAATAGGCCTACTACTCGTCAGTAGGCTTACCCCTTTTTGTTATAGTACCACAAATTACGCTTCTGCAAATAAATAAATGGTTGTAATCTTCATTAAAAAAAACCAACCTATATTGGCTTATCTTCTTATTTAGGCCTACCCCATATTTTTTAGAAATATTGTAAGCCTTTATAGATGATTAAAACCCGTTAGATTCTAGATAAGGAGTTAATCCTTTAATAAGGAACTCCTTTGCATTCTTGGTTACGTTTGCTAGGTATATATACCTCAACTTCTCGGATGCAATAATATTTGGCATAATTCAAAAAACAATCTAAAGAAAAGAAACTGTAAATCATCAAAAGTAGTCTATTCTACTTTTGATGAGTTACAGTTTCTATTCTTTAGATTAGGCTATAAGTTTCTTTGACAACAAAATAATTAATCAAATAAAAAATGTAGGCTACACATGTTAATGCCTTTTATGAAAGGCTGAAAGGCCAACATTCTTCATACAATTCACGGTCACAGCGTACACGTCAAAATAACAGGTTTAGAATTAATTCCAACCTAATTTGAGTTCAGCTGTTTATGTCTGATCTATTTACCTGGTCAGTTCCTTGGCTGTCCAACTCGGCTTCGTCCAGTTCATCAACAACAGCAATGTCAAGAACATCATCTTCCACTCCGTCTTCGAGGATTTCATCACCGTCATGAACTTGGTCAATAACTCTGTAAAATAATTGTTAAATGCTTGGTCAAATTGTTAACTTCTCAATATTAATCTAATATATAAAATTCTCGTGTCACAGTGTTTGTCTGCAAACTCCTCCGGAACGACTTCACCGATCGTTATGAAATTTGGTGTGTAAATTCTGTAGGTATGCGAATCGGACGTAAACTATTTCCCGTTTCGAAATTCTTAAAAGGGCTCCGCCCCAGTGGCTCTGGAGTTTCCCATGTTAACCTTATGAGAAATGGAATTAATGAATCTTAACAGCTGTTTCAATTATACAAGTTGGTTCTGTTCTATGATGTTCAATAGCATTAAAGTTACAAGGATTACCAACAGGGTGCAGCACTATTATTTCTTTTACATTTATGACAACAGCTAATTTGCAACCAAAAGGTGAGTGAGCGTAGCGAACGAACTTCAACCTGGAGGCGAGTGAGCGTAGCGAACGAGCTAACCTGAAGGCAAGTGAGCGCAGCGAACGAGCTCCAACCTAAAGGTGAGTGAGCGTAGCGAACGAGCTCCAACCCAAAGGTGAGTGAGCGTAGCGAACGAACTTCAACCAGGACGTGATTGAGCGATGCGAACGAGATCATCTTGAAAATTAAACGTAACGGTACTTTCTTTCCATCGGTCTGTCTTAGGGGAAACCTATAACTTAGGCGATACGAAGTTCGCCGGGTCAGCTAGTATTCTTATAGTATTTTATTTTTTATCAATGACATACATACAGGGTGGCAATTAAGTCTTATGATGACTTTATAACTTTAAAAAGAAATGACATATCACAACCAAATTTGGCACATTATTACTGGTAATAGTAAGCTACTTTTCTGTTTACATGGTGATCAGAAGTCACGTATAGGCGACGGCCCAAAGGGAGAAAGTTAGAAATCTTAGGTAAGCATATGTTGATATGTGCATCAAATTTAAGGTCTTGTTGAACTCAAAACAATGCCGCAAACCAGACCTCAAATAGTCAACGGAGTCAAAAGTGGCAGCCGTTCAAAGATTTATTGAATCTTCCATTTTGAATCTTGACTGCCATTGTTTACTCAGTTGTTCTTTTGAGCTCAAATTTGCGGCATTGTATCCTAAAAATAAAGACCATTAATTTAATATGCATATCCACATATGCTTACATTTCTGATTTTCTTCAGTCTTCTGGCTAAAGCTATTATCCAGCTTTAAGCCAGATTTACTGTCAGCGATACTGTACTGTAATCTCATCAATAATATTTTAATACACATCAGGGGTGCCCCCTGAGGAGGTAGGGTATAATACCATTGAAAATTCAATGAATCTTTGAACAGCTGTCATTTTTTGCTCGATTGTCCATTTGAGGTCCAGTTTGCGGCATTGTTTTTACATATCCTATGCTTACCTTTAAAATTTTCAACTCACTCCCTGTGGGCTGTCCCCCATAGGTGACATCCAATCACCATGTACACAAAAAAGTAGCTTACCATTACCAGGAATGATATGCCAAATTTGGTTGAGATATCTCTTTTTGTTTTAAAGTTATAAAGCCGTCCTAAGACTTAATTATCATGATGGGTTAGCCTCTGGATCAAGATAATGCAAATATAAAAGGTTTAATTTACCTGTTTGCGTCAATTGATCCCCTAAATTGGCCCTGTTAGAACTGTCACATCTAGACCTTGATGTGAACAAAGATGCCAGTAGGTAAGTTTACTCAAATAAATCACCAGTTATTTAACATTTTTGAAAAATCCGATTGGCAGTGAGGTAGGAAACCACAACTTCTTTTAGATATTAAGTCTGTACTGACGCCATTCTGTATTTATCTGTTATAAATCATAAATAAAGCATTCATGATTTTGATGTATAGAGATGTGTTGTGTGATCTAATAGTGGGGAAGGTGGTATGATGGACGGGTAGGTTATGGGGTTGGTTGATTCGATCAGGCCATAATGTCACATCATATGATCTAACGATAACATGGATCGAGTACGCATATTATATAAACAAGTAACCAGGAGAACGATTCGAGCAATATACAATGAATTTAAATCAATAAACTAATTCTTGTTCAAGAACTATGACTATAGTTCGGCCGCTTAGAAAGCGACCTCCTCCAGCATTGGTTTAGCATTAGCGCGCAGGTCGTTTTCTAAGCGGCCGAACTATAGCAGGAATAATTCCAAAAATATATTTGTAGCTTTAATCTTTTTACATGTACCCAAAGTTTTTTTTCAAGTTCAGTTTTGTTTGATATTAATTGCATTAGTAATGTAGTGTCGTTGTAAATTATGCCATCTTGTAATTGATTATGCTAACTACTTATTGTATAAATGGTGTTACCGTGAAAAAATAAATAAATAAATGTACCTATGAGGACAAAATGGTGAAAAAATGTTATATCATCTGACATACAATATTTCACATATCTGCAGTTGGATTGGAAGGCAGGTTACACACTGTCCCATACGTTGTGTCCTAAGACGCTGGTCGTTACTCATAAAATTGATAAAAACAAACTAAGTATAACTTTCTCTTATTAGGTTAACAAGTCAAATTTACTTACTGGTAAACCTGTCTGCGACTGTCACTCGAATGGGCAGATTCTCTATAAATTACTTGTGAATTCTGCAAAAATAAAACCAAATCAAAAACCATGTTTGTAAACGGTGCTGATTATAGGGTAGTTTTGCAGCACCTTTTTTTGTAACTTGTTATCTTTGCTATCTACTTGCATGCAAACCGTGCACTGGAATAGTACCTCGGTCGCCTCTATTAGGCATTGAGTACTCGGAAACAATGCAGTATATGAGCAACTAGTTTATGAACGGTATATTTAACTGTATTAACTTAACTATTAACCATCCATAGATATTTTTGCAGGAAGAGTGCCGGGGATAAGCAAGTTCTCTTCCCAGCAAAATTTCAGCAATGTTGAAAGTGGATGTACTATTTTATGCAATGAATAATCTGTAGTCAACAATTTACTACACAGTAGTATTTGTTTGGCTTATTCTAATACTGAAACATATATACAAAATACTGCATTCATAGTAAGTAAAACATAGCTGTTATGCTTACCTAAGGAGAATAGACTACCTATGTATTTGAAACCTTTATAAATTATAAATAAAAAATATATCTTGGTTTTCCCAATTTACTTGATTAAAAATCCCTCTGTATCAGCTTGAAATTTCCATTTACCAAGATTGTACTGTTTAACTGATATTTTGATATTTACCTCATAAGATTCAAAGTCATCGTCTGCTAGCAAAGCATCTTCTTGCTCCCCATCTAAATCGTCAAATGCACTTTCATCTAAATCCCCATCTAAAAGCTCATCTCTGAAATCATAAATATAAAAACATTATAAATTTAAATTCAAAATATACACTATGGGGTTTGTTGTGTACCTACTTGATATTTTTTTTACTGGTTTTGTTTTATCTAGGCCTAATTAATTAGTAATTTGTAGCGTAGAGAGATGACTGAGCTTTAAGTAGTCGGGGAAGCCGATTTTTGATTGTTTTAATTTATTTCAAAACTCTAAATGCTTGGGGAACGTTTCTTCAAAGGAGTATTTAGATAAGAACTTCAAAGAAGCAGCTGGTAATGAGTGAATTCTGCAAAGTGTTTATTGCAAAACCTCAGGATGCTGGAATGCCTGCAACATGATCTCTATCCTCTCTGCGTTGTCCAAAGTGTTTGAGGAACTCTTTTTGGACAGAATCAAGCACAAGGTAGCCAGCATCATCTCCCCTCGTCAGCATGGATTTGTATCACGACGTTCTACCGTCTCTAATTTAATAGTTTTCCAAACTAAAATACTTGAGGCTTTCATGTCAAATCACCAGTTGGATGCAGTTTATTTGGATTTCTCAAAGGTGTTTGACACAGTGGACCATACTCTTCTCCTAAAAAAACTTGTCAGCCTGGGATTTGATAACACCTCAGTTCGTTGGTTGGCTAGCTACCTCTCCAATAGGCGCCTGTAAAATTTGCAGGCGCACTGTCCTCAGAATTTGTCTCCTCCTCAGGTGTACCACAGGGATCTCGTCTTGGGCCTCCACTGTTTTTACTGTTTGTAAATGATCTACCGGAGACTATTATGACTGACTCTTTACTGTTTGCCGATGATGTGAAACTCTTTTCAGCTGTCTCAAAGGAGGAAGATTGCCTGATAATTCAGCGCAGTTTGGATTCCCTGGACCAATGGTGCTTTACTAACAACATGAAACTCAATATTGGGAAATGTCAAGTTATTACCTTCCATCGTTGCACCGCCCCTCTGTTCTTCAATTACAGTGTTCGAGGAGAAGAGCTTTCCAGAGTTACGGAGATAAGAGACTTGGGAGTTATTTGGACCTCGTCGTTGAATTCTGAGGCTCAGGTAGCTGCCATATGCAGGAAGGCGAACAAAATGCTTGGGTTTGTTCTTTGATTTTCCAGAAATCTTACCAACTTGACCGCTATGAAAACTTTGTACTGTGCATTGGTGAGGCAGCTGCTAGAGTATGGTTCATCAGTGAGGAGCCCTCATCAGCGGTATCTCTGCGACGAGCTGGAGGGGGTGCAGCGCAGGTTTGCCAGGATGGTTGGTGTGAGGAATGGCTATCTGTACCGCCAAGTCCCGATTGATGAAATCTATAGTGAGATGGGTCTTCAGCATCTGGAGACCAGGAGGAACATCGCTGATCTCGTTGTCTTGCACAAGCTCCTTAATGGCTCATTTGACTGCCCTGATATGCTCCAGCAGATTCAATTTCGGACTCCTCAACGCACTCGTTCGAGAGACCTGTTTGTTAGACAGCATCACCGCACAAACTACGGGATGAATGCCGCACTCGTCCGCATGCAAAGGGCGGGCAACAGCGTGCCAGAGACTGTAGACTTCTTCCTGGACAGTGTATCTTCGATGAAGAGGAAGCTTCAACGTAGTCCTTTATTTTGAAAATTCATTGTCAATATTATATATTTGAATCGTAAATTTTTATATCTAATTGCAGGGTCTTTCTCGGCAAGGCTGTGTTCTGTTAATAGTAGTCTATTTGTATTGTTATTCTTGTTATTTCAGTATATATTTATTATCTAGATGTTATTTGTATAAGTATTTATTGTAAATGTTATTTATTGTAAGTGTTATTTATTGTTAATGTTATTTATTGTAAATATTATTTATTCTTGTTGAATCATTAGGCAGAATTCTTTATTATCAAATGCATGTATTTTTATAAGGCCATAGCGAATGCTATATTATTGTTATGAATATTGTTTCCATCTTGTTGTGTTGTATTAATGTAAAAATGGAGTTGTCCGTTGGTATGTAAAATAAAATAAAATAAAAACAGCTTAAAAAACTTAACTCTTTAAAAATAAGATTATAAGTTAAGCAGTTAAGCATTTTTGAATAAAGTTCTTTCACACACATCTTCAAATATCCTTAAGTACTTGTTTATGAGGACCCACGGAGGACATGGCGACAAGAAATTAGCTTTTAAACAGAGGTAGTAGTGTGACCGGGCTACCAGCCGCTGCTTGGAGGTGTTGCTGCCTAGAGTGACCCGTGCTTTATGGACCCCTTCACACTATCGGGTCGCAGCTACCTTCCTCGGTTGCAGTAGCCTGGTCGCCAAAGAACTGTGACACAGATCAGTAGCTGCCACCGTTCTTTTTCAGTGACTCAAATCGTTTTGTTTGAGTTTGACTTGAACTATACTTCAGAATCAGAAAATATTTATTGTTTCATATTCATTTACAAGCTTATACACAGAGTAACGTAAGAATAACTTAGATTAACTAACTCACACACTTATTTAACTATGAAACAATTCATTACTTGACACGATCATGACATTATAAAAACATTGTAATGACGAACACTGACAAAAGACTGATACAAGGCCCGGAAGCAGAAATGCCGCTGCTTTGGTTAACGTTCTGAAGAAGACTTGTCCAGCTTACCAAAGTTAGCGGCCGACATAGTACTGTATGTGATTTTCATTTGCGGATTATTTGTAACTTGCGTTAAAAAAATCCTTAGGCCTACCGGTACCTAAGTTAATCATTACCTACCTATTAAAAATATTCATTCTAAGAACTCTCAAGTTTCTTGTTAGTTTTACTTTTCTTTCAACGGAGAAATTCCTATAACGTAGGCCTACATATAACTATTGTTTTACGACCGGAAATAAAAAATATATAGCCTAACTTATTTTGGGCCTAAAGTGACCTTAGATAACCTGAGGGCTTGGATAACCGGGGCTCGGATAATCAAGCGTGTACTGTGGGGCAAAACAATTATGAATAACAGTGAAAGTTTGTTATTAACTTGGTATTAGGTAACTTAGACTTACTGAATCTGTTGGTAAACCAAAAAGAAGGTAAAGTCTCTTGAGATAAAAGCAAGAAATTCGATTCCATCTTGACCAATCTACCATAGCATAACTTACAATACGAATAAGATTAATTTATCTTACTTTTTAGCGAGAATGTCTCAGCCACTGGGTTGCAGCCAATACATATCAAACATAAGCTAAGTGAACTTAAGTTACTAGTAGGTCTACAAGGACAACCCCAGTTAAGGTGTAGCTAGTCCTAAATTTGCAAATACAGTAGCTAGTGAAATTAAGATTTCACAGGTATTTTTTCCCTCATGTGCCTAACTTATCTTAAAAATGCTGTAAGTCAGAGGTAGGGCCTATTCAAATTGCTTTCGGTTGAATAAACTTAAAGTTTAAGCATGCGAAAAATTCGGGTACAATTTCTTAACTTGGCTACGCTGATAGATTTAAACTAGGCCTATCGATTTAAAATATTGTTTAATAATCAATATTTTTAACTATGCCTATCAATTATATGAAACTGTCATAGGCTAACCTAACCTAACAAACCAAACTTCCTGATAATGAGAAAATCGAATTGATAGTTTCAAACAATATTAAGTTAACGTAAATTAGCCCAGTTTAAGAAACTGTACCCGAAAATTCTTAAAAATATGTAGGGTCAGGGTCCGTTAAATATTATGGTTAATGGTTATTCAACATTTACAAGAAAACAAAAATATTTCATTTCAAAGGTAGCCTACTAGCCTATTATTGTCATAACCTCTCAAACTAAAAAAATATAATTTTATTTTATCCTCTATTCTTAATTTGCTTCCAAGATCAATGAAATATTAATATTATCCAACTAAACTAACTATCAAATACATTTTAAATGATCAAAATATAGTATAAATGATCAATAATAAAAGTAAAAATAAAATAGATTTCTGCTTACCCAACGTCAGCCATGTTTATTTGTAATCTCTCCGAACCGAACTATGACGTTACATTATTTACAAAAAAAACGAAGCATTTTGATTGAACGGACTCGGAAAAAGTGAATCCTAAATCTAAATGTCAATATTGCCAAACAAATTCCATACTATATCCAATCAAATTCTTAACAATATGACTGCTTAGATTAAATATTCAAAGTAAATAATGTTGAAAGTAAACTGCAAAAGACCATAAGTTTAGACTAACCAACACAAGTAGACTTCTCGTTCCATTGTAAGGTAATTATTTGAAGCTAATTTGGATCGCCGGAATTTTATCCACTTGGAATTTTACCCCCTGGGCAAAGCTGACGTCACTATGACGTAATAACCTGAGTGGCCAAAAGTTTGTTCGCGGCCGGAATTTTGCCCCCGCGGATTCGGAAGTCTAATGAAAATCGCCAGAGCGTGATTAGATTAGCAATAAAAGCCGGAATTTTACCCCCTGTCCATATAACTAGTGTTTAGATAACTGAATTTTATCAATCAATTATTTAAGATGGGGACGCCACTATGTGCGTATTTTAACACAAATATGATTGAAGGATGAGTGTAGGATGAGTGGCGCGATCTTGTAGTCTTGTTAGTGACCCAGACAGCACACTTTATCCCAGGGACATCCCATAGTAGTCCCATATGTCCTGAGAATGTCTCGGGATATGTGCGCTATCCTCAGGATATCCTGCAAAATCCCGGGACGAGTACGAAATCCACAGGATATCCTACAATATACCGTAATGTCCCGGGATTTGTAAGTTAACCTCAGGATATCGTGTAAAGTCCCGGGATATGTACGAATGCCATAGGATATCCCAGAATGTCCCATGACATCCCGGGACATGTACAAAATCCACTGGATATCCTGTAATGTCCCGTAATGTCCCGGTAACAAACTGAAGAAAAAAAATGTTACCACTGATGAAATGTACAGTATATCTAAATTTAAATGTTCAACAAGGCCAATATATAATAATTTGTTTTTTTTTCACTAGTGCTTTCAGAAACTTGGTTTCCATCTTCAGGCTGTGTTTACACTAGTACAAAAAGTAAATATTTACTCAATAAATTAATTTTAAACAAAGTTAAAACAGATGATTTAAAGGATATTGGAAAAATAAAAAATAATATTACAAAAATTAATCTTTTGAATTTTGGATATGTTACAGTGTTGTTCTTGATGTAATTATTTTCAGTAATTCCGAATTTATAATTGGGCCGTCTTCATTATTTAACAAATAATTTTGGTCTGTTTTTTTTTCTAAAAATAAGATTCCCACGCATTAAGATGTTGAGGTTTTATAATTTATTTTAAAAGTTTAAGGTTTCCCAGATTGAAAATATGTCTTGTTAATACTATGGCTAGCAAGGGTTGACTTTACTTTACTGACATATTACTACCACTGAGTTCAGGAAAACTAGAGTTCTATCATAGTTGTGTGGAATATGAATTTAATTCTAACTTTAAATTAATAAAACAACAAAAAACTAATTTTAATCATATAACAATCAATTATAACAGTGCTAATCTAATGGTGATTAAATAATCTATATTCAAATGCCAGTATCCTCTCCAACTACCAGAAAAACAATTCAACTACTTGAGGCCTAAACAGATTAACAGAATCATATATAGCCTATACTGTAGTATCAAAAATATTTTAAGTATTGCGACCATTGCAACTGTCGGCTACTCTTTAACCACTTGAAAACACCCATAATCAACAAGCGCAGATAGCTCAGGAGGTAAGGTAAGAGGCTCACAAGGCGAAGGTACCAGGTTCGAAACCCGTCTGGGCCAAAAACTTTTTTCTCGTTTTTTTCTTCAAAATTTGTGTTTATTAACTATTTAATCAATTTACTAAACTTATAATTAAGCTTTTCATACTAAATCTATATTATTTTGTGTTTTTTATGTTCAGGCCCAGACCACACTTTATCCCAGGGACATCCTATAGTAGTCCCATATGTCCTGAGCATGTCCTGAGGACTACCCTGGGATGACCTCGGATGTCCCACGGATATGCGTGTGAGCTTATCCGTAGGACATCCCCGGGCGGGGACATTAGGCATTCCTGTGGATATCCTGTGATATCCCAAGTTGACCATAGGACCACTATGGGATATCTTGCATATCCTGTCGCAATATCCGTGGGATGTCCTGAGGAGAAAGTGTGCTGTCTGGGGACTAAGGCCGACATGTTCCTTAGACACAGCTGTTAATTAATAGCCCATACAGCTAATGGCAACTAAGGGACCTACAGTTTATAGTGGAATCCGAACCACATTTTTCCTTGTAATTTACGAATTGGTCTAATTATCAGGATAGTACTGCGGATAGTCGTAGTACTCACTAGTGCGGACGTTAATCCACACCAGTGAGCATCGCATCCACAGTGCATCCCTATAAATATCCACAATTCGTGACCTCCTAGTAGCTGGATTACAGGACGACGCCACCCGTCCCAGTCGTACGGGCCGGATTTTTACCCCACGGAATTTTCCCCCTGGCAGATTTTAGAAATTGAATGATGGATTTTCTTATTTCTGTTTTAATTAATTGTAGACATTTCATTATTTAGTAGCCTATCTTTATTAATGTATTTATTTTGTAAAGAAATGTTCGAAACAATTATCATTCAGTTGATTGTTTATACGTCATATTAACCAACTGTTGGCTCCAAAAATCGAATCCTAATACTAGAATCTCAAAATAAAAATTAAAACTTGTTCGATTCGTTAATTTTACAAATAAATTAATATAGGCTACTTAATAATAAAATGTTTTCTATTAAATTAAAACAGAATGAAGATAATTAATCATTCTCACTAATTTATACATCCGGCCAGGGGGTAAAATTCCGGGGGTAAAAATCTGGGCCGTACACTCTAGGTTTTTATAATTTTATGTGTTCTGATTAAATTCACAACCGTGAATGTATATGTTTAATTCCGCGTTTAATCCATCGAGCTGATGCCCAGGGGGTAAAATTCCAGGGGGATAAAAATCCGCTACCTCGCTAATTTTTCTTGTCTAGTTCATCTACGGCGACACTGGGCACCTGGGCACTTGTGTTGACGACACTTTGTTTCTATTGTTTTAGGGTTAATTTCTTGATTTGTGCTTTACCGTTTGATTATTATAACACAAGGGGACGAGTTATTGTTTATGATTAATCGTAATACTTGTTTAAAATAGGTTTAAAATTACTGAAATGACAAGAGACAAGTCAGCTGTTCCATAAGGATGAGAAATCTACTAAGGGAGTATATATTATCTATGATAAGACCCAATGAATCCTTTGACTTTGAATAATATCATGGATAAAACACACTGGCCTTACTGTTGGTTAGTCTGGGGGTAGCGAGATGGTCTAGTGCTAGTGGTTAGAGCGTTGATCTTCATTCCCTGAGGTCCCAGGTTCAGAATCAGATCCCGCCAAATCACCAATGGAATGGATTTTTATCTAAGTGATAATCGCAACCCCTAGGTCTAACCTGAAGTAATGTGGAAAACAATCCCGGGCTCGTGCATAAAGTGTTAGGACAAAATAAGTATTAGTTAGTCGGCTTAACATCTCATTGTCATTGCAGTGCCATATCTGAAGCATTTTTTACTTGGCGCTTGAGTGCAATGATGTCGACCAAATATATGTTTATTATTTTACGGTATAATCTACGATTTGTTCGATTACTTTAAATTTAATAATTATAAGATAATTCTAGAGGACAAGGGAATTTTTACAAGTAGATTGTTGTATTCAGTTACCGATAATTGAAACATTGGTTAAATAACAAGAAATGAATAAATAGCATAAAAAGCCACCCTCTCCATGAACCACAAGAAAAGAAACCCTTTTAAACCCGTTCACATCGTCAGCCATGGATAAATGCCTCAGCTAACCAATAGAACTAGTGCACCTTTTGCTCGAATTCGAGCAATAACTAAGTATTACAGGCATTATTTCAAAATATTAATAACAGTCATAATTTCCGATAATAAGCTATGACCGTAGTACTCATGGTAAGACATAGACCCGCGACATCTTTCACCATGCGGGAGCGGGACATGTGTTCTTTTTCGTTTTGAAGTCCATAGAGCCCAAAAACACCAACCGTTCAAATTCATATATATATTGTTATATACAAGTCAGGAGCCCCGCGCAACAATGGCTAGGCGCCGCACCGTCTCAAAGGGTTGTTTGTCAACACAGGATTCTCCGAACGCACCAGTGATAGACAAATAGACCCATGTCAACGGACTACGTCAATAGCGTCTTTGACATCCACCAGAAGCTTCCACGGTGATCTGTAAACAGCTTTGTTTGGGCTACTAGGAGTCCCCAGAATGTTCTACGGCAAACTTATATAAGAAACCGTCTTCCGGCACACGGCAGTCGAGTCTTGCAAGTCGAGTCCAAGGATCATCGCAGCGACCGCCCGCCGGTGTGAGTGACGATTGACACTGACTGACAGTGTCAGTGTAATGACGGTGTAGTGACAGAGTTGTGATAAATCCTGTAAAGGCTAGCTGTAAGTAGAAGCATTGTAAATTAGAATAGGCTTTAGCTAGGTTAGGTAGGGTTATTTAAGGCGTTAGGTAATTTTAATTATTGTAAATAGAGAGTATATTAGTGTAAATAAAATAGCTATTATAAAATCGCCAAGTTTTTATTGTAAAGAGCCTGTCAAGCTCGCAACAATATATCCAATATGTTTGAATGTTTGAAGTATGAATGATATTGTCGCTGACGGTGACGTTGTAATGTTGTGACGACGGTGGCATATATTTCTTCTTCTGTTGTTGGCCCTACAGTCTTTGGGAGGCGAACAGGCGAGAGGCGACAGCTTTGCCTGGTGTGGAGTTCTAAAGTGGTCTCACGCAGCCCTCTTTGATTCAAACTTTGATATATGTATCGTTTGTCATCGATCGTTTTGACACCAAAACGGAGTAGATGATGTGGTGTCGTGTTAGGAATCAATCGAAATG